GCGTGGCCTCATCTCGCTTATTGCGGGTATCACTGATCGAATCTTCATGCTGAGGCTGATTTCCTTAGGCCTCAACATTGTATGCGAAGTTGACATTGTTATCTGCCATTTCATATGATTTTTGCTAAGAACAAAGAATCAAACAGGTTAGTAATAGATGCAATGATCAGTTCAATTACACAACTATCTAAGCCCCACAGTGGGTGCCAAACTGTTTACCCGTAAAACTTTACAGTTAAATTTATACGTGGTTTATAGTCAAGTGAATCGATTTGATCCCAAAATGATATATAAATTAAACAAGAATGAAGGACTTAGCGTTGAAATTGAAATAAGAAAGCAGAGATCTTGGTTCCGGGAGCAGAGCTTCTGGGGGCAGTAGTAACGATATTAATAAGCAAGAAGATAAAATATTATTGAGCTTTGAACAGTATGTAGCATAAGCTTGTCAGAAAATTCGCCCCTTCCAATGGCTATTGAGCTCACTATTTATAAGTTCCTAGAGAACAAGGTTCTAGGATCAAGCCTCTCTTAAATGACAATTATGGGAGCCATTAAAAAATGTGTAACGGTAGGCAATGAATACTATATTCTCTGTAACGGACTAAATACTTAATGTTATAGAATATTCATTATTAACTGCTACCGGATGGCAAGTATTTATTTTGTATTTATGAACAACATTCCCTTCGAGAACAAATGAGATTGCTGCCTTCGGACTTGATTGTCATTTGCCTCGCTTTCCATCTGCATTCGGTTCTATGTGTCGCTTTATTATGCGAACATTTAATATGAGCATATTTTACCCTATATAGTCTTACATTTTATATGATGTGAATTCTGTTCCACTTTTATTCTATGATACTAGAATTTATAAGTTTAGTTCTTGAATTCTGAACTGAGTGTTTCTAATTCAGTAGGTGGTGGTTAGGGGATATATAGGAAAATGACTCAATAATTCTGGAGAAAGAAATGATTTTACAACACACCTCGTTTAATTTGGGAAGTTATGCATTGCTGAGATATTTCTACACTTGTTTTTGTACAACATATAAACCAACATATTGGTGATTTCATCCACAAATTAGTCTTATAATAACATTGAGAAGTTCAGACAAATGCTCAACTTATGCTTTTACATCATTTATCCTACTAACTTCTATAATTACTAATTAAGTGGCGTTCAACATAATTCTCGATGAAATTTCCGTAACTTATAGTAATTTAAAATGGGAGGTAGAGGACAGTCGACAGATATATATTAAGACAGAGCAACCCAAATTAAAATTAAACGGTTAAAAGAAACCATGAAAAAGATTTTAAGGGATATAATAATGCAAATAAAAATGGAAAGAAAGAATAATCCAAGTTTGAATTTGCATAAGCTAAAATATAGATATCAATAACCTAAAACTAAGTACATCACAAGGTACGAAAAAAGAAAATAGAAAAGCAAACTAGATAGGAGTAATAGAAACCTAAATAACATAATTGAATACATATTTTTATCTGTAATAAAAATAAAACTTGTTAAAAGGATTAGGGAATCTCATTTTTTTCAGTTAAACATTCGTCTTCCTAGTAGGAAATACCAGTCTTCTTAATCCAGTTATCTTGGTCAATAAAATGAGCAGGAGCATATTTTTCAGCTTCTTGTGGTGAAATGTTTCTTTTGTAACCACCCCATTTAACTCTTTTATCAATGTTTGCTCCTGGTCCTCTATTCTGATACTCTGCATAAAACAAAGTATTAAGTGCAAAATTTCCATTCCATGGGGCCCACCCTTCAGGATCAATAAACGCGTCGATATACGACTGCATAATAATAGTCCTTGAATATTCTTTCCATGGACGTCCAAGGTACGCTTTAATTGGTGGCTGCGTGCTAGTAAAAGCTGGCTCAGCTCTGATATCGCAGTTTTGTAATACGATTGCACCAACTCCGCGATGATCTTTTCTTCCTTGAGCAGTGACCATACAAGCTTGATTGTCTCCTGGTTTTCTAACAATCATCTTGCAGTTCTGGAACACGGCCGATGCATCACCAAAGATGAAGTCAATGGTGCCTGTTATAGTACAGTCCTTGTAGAATTGTCTGTAGGAATGTGTGTAGAGTGTGTCTTGGTATCCATCTATGTTGCAGTTGTAGAAAACTGTCTTGTCAGCTGAGACGCGGAGCGCAACTGCTTGGTGCTTCTTTGCTCCTGCTGTGTTCTCGAATCCTATATCCCTTGCTACGAATCCGTCTCCATTCACGGCTGCACAATTTAGAAGAGTTTAACTTTTATACCCTGACTCTTTTATAAACTCTATATATTATGACGTTTGTCAAAGGAGAACTGGTTAACTTAACTGTTTATAATAAAGTCTAATTCGTAACATGAAAGTTGATATCTTCAAAATTCCAAACAAAATTTTAGCAAGAAAGTGTGAAATAGTATTCATAAGGAGTTTAAGTTAGAAGAAGTAACCTATATAGCTGCCTACCCAGCCGTTTAGACTAAAAATAGCTGACACATGTATAATATATGCATACTTTATGTATAATATGTGTATACTCAGTGTATAATCTATGTATACCGGCTGAAAAAGTAAACACTGAATCCGGTCGGCTATTTGTTTAAGTTATATATACTAACATTGTAAAGATTTTTTCTTACACTATAGGGCAATTTAACTGGTTATGGCAAGCTATTACTCTTCAAGTTGTTATACCAGGACTGAAGTAAAGAGTTATCTGTTGTTGTTGATCAAGTTAAACAGTTCGTGTAGAAAAAAGATTGGCGGCGTTCGTGTACAAAACATAAACTCATTTATTGAACTGAATGACATACCAACGGTGGCAGTGTGATAAGTGCCAGTGCCATCAGCAAAATTCTTATTGCCAGTAATCTTGGTCTTGGTTGGGCCTTCACCAATAAATACAACATTTATCATACTCCTAGGAATATCAACCATTTCCTTATATTCACCAGCCTTGATTAAGATAACATAGGTCTGGTTATTCTTAGGGGGCACAGCTTTAAGTGCTTCTTTGATAGTCTTATATTGTCCACTTCCATCTTGAGCAACCACAGCATTAGGCTTTGCACCAGAAACTTGAAGAAGCCGACGAGAACCGGCCTCAACAAACGCTGATGTGTACTCAGAATCTGTTGTCAATAATCGTCGACTAATACCAGGGATATGCAAATTTGTAAGCATTTCACCAAAACTAGAAACCATAGCAAGACCATTACTAGTAAGTTCCCCTGCAGTTTTTAGTAATTTTTTCATTTTCTCACCAGTTTCACCAGTTGTGTTTTCAAAAGCATCTAAACAAGTTTCTTGATAAGTAATTGAAGCACTAATCCATGTTTTTAAATCATCAGTATAATCCTTAATCTTGTTGATATCAAAGGTACCAACTTTATCAAATGACCTTCTTAAATCATCAATAGAGACATTAAGAAGAGATTCACAAGTTTGTAAAGCATCTTTGGTTCTTGGATCTTTAGCAGCTTCTTGAATCAAGCTAGTATTTTTCATGGCATTTTTAATATCAGTAATAGTTGATTCAAAAGCAACTTTTATAAGTTCTTTTGGATCACTTGTGTTCTTGGCTGATGCAAGACTTTTTTCACAAGCTTCTTTATAATCAGTAGGTTGACACATTGCTTGTACTGATTTTGTAGAGGTTGAAATTTGGCTATCATTGGAAACAGGATCACCACTATTAGATGATGAATCACTGCTATTTCTTTTAGTAATGGTAACAGCTGCTGCTACCACACAAGCCACAACAAGAATTGAGGCTAAGCCAGCAATGGCTATTTTGTTAGCCATAACTTTGTAATTTTCTTTTTTTCCCTTAAAGAAAAAATGTTTTTTTTTTTGTTTTGTTCTATTGATAGCAGAGCTTTTGGGGGGTGTTTTCTTATTAGAGAGGGTACATGCCCCTTGGCTCTGAAAGATATATTTGTTCAAAATGGAAAACCTATTTATATTGTAATGGAACAAAGTACAATAGCAAAATTATTGTTGGTTTCAGTTGAGGATGTGAGGTTGTGAAATGGTCTTTAAGGAAAGACGAGGCTGTTAATTAGTGTTCATTTTTAACTTTAATTTTCCTACAATTAAGGTTTGGTAAATGGAATTGTACTGGTCAATTCAATTCCTGTTTGTTTCTAACTTGTGCATTATACAGCTTTGCCCTTTGAATATCAGAATTTATAATTAATCTATAAATTATCAGCAAAAATAACTTTAGAAGAGTATATCAGCAAATTATCATCTTTTACTCGTGAACATTCACGTAATCACGTTACTGATAGAAGTATTAGGGCGTACAGAGTTAGATAACACATTAATCAAATAAATAAAGTGATAAATAAAATGTTTCAATGCTAACTTCCCCTTTGAAAACAATTTGATACTTACAATGCATGTTATTTTTTTCGAACGAAAAATGAAAAAGTACATGAAAACACGACTGATTAAGTTTATTAATAATGCATCAGTTACTTTTTCAAAAGACAGATAACCTTATTATAAATTTCATTTTAGTGACCTTTAGAATCATTATACCACCCTTAATTAGCACTATAAATCCAATCTCATCTACATAGATGTTCCAAGCCACGAGATGAGGAGGTTCATCGGGGCTGATAATTGATAAAATCTACGTAAATAAAAAAAAAAGGGACGTATAAATTGGATTTTTGACTCGCAGTAGAGCTAGGCTCCTGATCAAGCAACTAATAATCCTATATATCCACCTCCCCATACACAATATCTTGAGTACCTACAATGGTGACCACATTTGCTGGCATGTGATGTTTGGACATAAAATCGAGTCCTTCAAAGCAGGTGCTCTTATTTTACGTATCATGAAAAGAAAATTGGAAAAATAAAGAATAGAGAAAAGTGAGGAAAGCTCAAAATTAACACTAGTTATGTTCCAATAACGCAATCTAATACAACTTCAAGAATTTCAAACAGAGCAAAGTGAAGAAAGCTCATGCAAAAACCAAGACGTTGCAACTCAGAATTCTCAAAGAACTTGGAGATCATGCATACATCAGTTGGTAAGATTTAGGTAGCTGCCACAAACTGACACCATTATTGACCAATACAAATAATATAATCCAAGCACCATATTGCTTATACTCATTTTCACCATGATTATTTTACTTTATGATCTATAGACTTCTGATTCATGCTCTCTGCCCGCTTTTTCCAATAATTTGGATTTATCAATTATTCTCTTCTTGTTGTGGGTAGAGGTTGAGGTTATATACAAACAAACTATTTGGATCATCCAACGGTGTAGAAAAGGATTTATATCATTATAGTCTGGCTCTTTGTAGTTCCATCTTTGCAATTGTCCCCAAGTGTACTTCATCAGGACCATCTGCGATTCTTAACGTCCTAGCTGTAGCCCACAGATGGGCAAGAACAGTGTCACCTGATAAACCAGCAGCTCCGTGCACTTGCATTGCTGTGTCAAGCACCTTCAATGCCATATCCGGAGCAGCAACCTATAAACCATATAGTCATGGTAAAGTATTTTCAGAACGAGACATAACGCTCATCACGTAGATCACTGTCACGATGCTCTTACTAACCTTTGCCATTGCAATTGTACCACGGGCCTTTTTGTTTCCAAGCCGATCAAGCTGCTCAGCAGCTTCCAGAACCAGTAATCTGGTTTTCTCCAGATCAATTCGACACTGTAAAGTCCATTGTCATGTATCATTTCAAATAGAATTATGGAAAATGAAGAGACAAAAATATTCTGGCAAAGCAGTTTCTGTTATGGGAGATTATGCTTAAATGCACAAAAACTTACCCTAGCAACATCAGAAAGGAATGAGCCTTGTTGAGCAATTAATTTTCCAAAGGCTCTTCTCTGAAGGGCCCTTTGAACCATCATCTGCATGCCGCGATCTGCTGCCCCTATTAGTCTCATGCAATGATGCAACCTTCCCGGTCCCAACCTACCCTACAAGAATAAGAATACAGCAACAACCAAGTTTCAGATACTATTCGACATGCTGCAGATATCTTTCCTCAAACCCGTACGTTTAATATTTTGAATAACAAAGGGTGATACTCAAATATCATAGCACATATATGCGGGGAGATTAAATTACTTTCCTGGGATGTATCAAATTCAAAGGAGAATGCAAAAGCATAATGATTGTTTGAATAAAACAGATTTAGGAATAAAAAAATGAGCTCATTAAATATCATAAGATATGTTGAAGTCAATACCTGTGCAATCTCGAAACCACGCCCCTCACCAAGCAGGATATTATTGGCTGGAACACGTACATTCTCAAATAATATTTCTGCATGACCATGAGGGGCATCATCAAAACCAAATACTGTCAGCGGTCTCTTCACGGTAATACCAGGACTGTTGACGTCCACCAAGATCATGGATTGTTGTTTATGCTTTGGAGCTGCCAAGTCAGTTTTTCCCTGCCATTCATCCAGACTAATTGGGTTGAACAAAAACGTATAAACAGAACAAATTATTTCTCGTTGAGAAGCAAAAATAACTAACCATCACAATGAGAATTTTGCACCGGGGGTCCATGGCTCCACTGGTCCACCATTTTGTCCCGTTGACGATATATGAGTCCCCGTGCCTGTACAATCCATTGCTCCCACAGTTATTTTTATTAATCTAACAAATTTCAGCATTTGACTCTCTTTTTTTTTTCTGGGCTGGGGGGCGAGTAAGTCCTAGTCATTTGACTCTAATATGACCAAAATCCCTCTAATGTTTCCTGTGTATTTAACAAAGCATAGGATGATTAAGCTGAACACAGCCCTTCTAAATTGAATAGAGGTTCCATCAGAATCCTCAAGATTCATGTTCAACATCTTGCACAATATTCTGATCCCAATGTTACAAATTTCTCTCCGAAATATTTATTAAGTAGTTTAAGACAGATAAATGTTCTTCAATGTTATCTTTCTCAACCAAAAAAAGGACACATAGATGTTTTTCAACATTCCGACAAAATTTTGAGAAATTTAGGTTTACCATCTTGGGATTAAAACCTTAATATGACCATTGAACCAATGGTTTCCTCTACCACTAAGAACATAAGACATATCGTTTGCATCTCATTTTACACATCTAAAGTACTAAGTCACCAAGAGAAGAGGAAAAGATTGCGACGATGAAAAGATAAATTCATCATAATTGCCCGAGCAATGGAGTTTTGTATATATAGTAACATGACATTTGGAGAAGTGTTGTGATTATGAGATAAGGGACAAGATAAAAAGGGAAAACCATTCAGAACTTCTTGTTAATAATTCCAATGATTTCACTTGAGAATCTCATTTTCAGCTTTGCTTCTGTTATTTTCGCATGTCATTCATTTTCCTTGTTTTTTAGCTCCCTCAGCCCCTAAGGGGGGTGTGGGGGGGAGGGGAAATTGATCTCATATCCTTTTTATCGTAGCTTGTGTCTACCTTTTAATGGAACACTCTATATTGGTGGCATCTGAGGATGCAACTTGAGGCTCTGTCATTGCAAAGCCAGAGCGTATCTTTCCCTCAAGCAAGGGAACAAGCCATTCCTTCATCTGTACCTCATTCCCATACCGAAGTAATACCTGACAAGAAGAATCACTCCCAAAAAGATAAGTCAGAACATAAGCAATTATGCATCGAAGGGCATAGCAAGTTGTCTTTATGAACCTATTACTGTTTTCACTTTTCACCAGTTAAATTTTCCACCACAGCTGCACGAGCTAGTTAAGCATTCTTAATATTATTTATCATATATTTGCAACTGGAGTCTTTCGTTGATTCTAGTTAAAAGAATATTACTGTAGTAGCCGCCCGCAAACCATCTCTTTACAAAACATTAAGTAATGTTTACTTTACCTCCATATTTCCTGTATCAGGTGCCCCACAGTTGAAAATTTGCGGCGCCCAAACAGAACGACCCATAATTTCACATAGATATCCATACTCCAGGTTGGAAAGGCCAGCACCCAATAATCTATCAGAATCATTATTGCTTAGACCATTTCTGCTGCCATAGATCAGTTCTCTTGCCCGAGCAGCACTATCAAACTGCATATTAGTGGGAAAAAAGACATAAGGTACATTCTTAGAAAGCAAATGTCTGGAATCATTCACTCCTTCATGCCAAAATAGAGCTTTACAAACTCACTGGTATCCACAAGTTCCACAATCCTTCTTTTTTTGCCAGCTCCTTTAATTTCTCTTCATCTGGGTGAATCGTCCAACGCATGTTAGACTGTGCAAGCTTGGAAAACTCATTTTCCCTTGGATATATATGATCCTCCATAAATTTTATCAATTTCTGCCTCAACTTTTGAACCTTCTCACTGGGCACAAATCTCCCTCCCACTGGCATTCCTTGATTTGGGCTATGCTCTGAACTTGTCTCTGCATGGTTGAGTACAACAGAAAACTTTGATAGAGGGAACAGGTATTACAACTGAGTTTTACTATCTCAAGCGACATGACCAATAAAGTCATAGTAGCCTATCAGATTTTATTCAGCAAAGTGACCAGTTCTTATGGACATTCAATGCCCATGAAAATGAATGTGAAGGACAAAAGGTTGCAATTTTTCAAGTGCAGATTTGTTCTTTTTGCTGCAGAGACATGTTAAAGGTTGGGTACTGACTAGAATCATCTGCAATTTCACTGAAAAGTGGAGTTTGAACACAGGAGAATTTTGGCTCAAACTTTTAATGTTACACGAGTTTCGAATGTAGAGCTGGAGCAAAATTACAGTTGAAACATAGAGAGTATGCAGAATGGTATTCGAAGAATTACGAATAATAAGAGTGTACATGATACTAAAAAGGCTAGAATGACCATCCATAATTGGAGAGATTAGTTAAACTAGAAACAGCAAAGAAGTTGTTAAGGTATAGGATTTACCGGTTGGAGGGTGCTGAGGGAGAACAGATTTTCTTTGGATAAACGACCATGCAGTTCTGATGAAGGAATCAGCCTTTTCTCCAGTGCTCCGGGCACGTTCACCTCCTGAAGCATTACCCTGCAAACCGATTATTAGAGATCTATAATATAGATAATAAATCTTACGTACATAACAAAATTGTTGGTCAAAACATCAAAATGATGTCACCACAAGATTAATAAGAAATCTGATTACCATGATCCATCTGGAATGTACACCAGCATATATTGAAGCCCCGCGAAATAAGGAAAAAGCAATGTAGAACTTCCATTGATCGACTGGCCAAGGTCTTCCCTGAATGCCAAAAAACAAAGCCAAAAGAAGTCAGAGACAAGTAGTTGCACCGTATTAGAGAGTGCTGATTTTCTCTTGATAATTAACCCTCCAAAAAAACAAAGATGATAAACCATGCACAAACGTTTTAACATTTTGAATACGGGATTATACTACAAGGCAGGCATTTTCAAAAGACATCACAATCTCTATACTCCAGTCAGTTTTTTTTTCCTTGCATAACAAAGGAACAAATGTGGCCATGCTTTCTTTATTACTTTTATTCTCTATTAGTCAGTTCAAAGATAAATACAAGAAATCCCTGCTCAGGAATAACCATCTAACAAAGACGCAGAAAGTTAGGCCTTACAGCTGCTGAGCAGTAATCTGCGAGATAATTGGCAAGTGAAGGCACTCCTTCAGGGAAGCTGGTGAGTTCAAAGCCATTATTCTCTTCTATATCTTCGGATGCTATGTTCACAATATGTCCCTGATAAGAAAGAAAAGATATTATAACTTTGAAAAAAGTTATTTGGGTCTATATATCAATCATGTGAAACAAAATCCTAGTGAAGGCTACTAAATACAGAAAACATGACTCTGAGGATGGTGCATGTCATTGGCCTAATAATATCGAGAAATTAAGTAGAAACCGCAAAAGAGTGGTAGTACCAAGCAGCTGTAGGCAACGTCACACATTTGATTACCCAAAGTGGAGAGTTCCCAATCAAGAATACCTATAACTCTATCCTGCAACATCAACTAACATAGTCAGTTGCACTGTAGGAGCTTTTGGCCGGGGGAGGGCGGCACACATGAAAAAGAACACCTATAGCATAGGCTACTGCAAGGAACAGAAGGAAGTATCAGACGCTTTCAAGGACCGCACCTCAATAGGATGAAACACAACATTATCAATCCGAAAGTCACCATGAACTAGACCTGCTGTTGCCCCAGAGGAATCTTCAAGGGGAATATGTTGCCGCAACCAATCAGCCAGCTCTAACATTTTAGGGTTTCTCCTGGACTTACCCTCACCAGTAGACAAAAGATATTGTTTGGCCCACCTCTCTACCTGAACTAGGTTACACAAATAATCAGACAATATTAAGTGTCACCCAGCACAAGAAAGTGTCATGAATAAAGTAACTGAACTATTCAGGTAACAAACCCATAAACAAATGTGATATTTCCAGTTGCATTACAATTTTCAATGCTCAAGAGCGGTAGACCAACCAAAAGCAAATAAGGCACAATTTTTTTTCCAGATATGTATTAGAATGAAATGGGCCTTAACAGGAATATGTACAGGATTCATGTTCCCGAACCCAACTATTTTGGGACAGAGATCTAGTTTTCTTTACCTGTCGCTTACAATAGTCTGTCCGCTTCCCATAGTTACCAAGACCGATTGCATCAACATCAGCAGAGTGAAGAACAGCCAAAGCTTGAGCAACAGCACGATATATGACCCTTCTTCTTTCAGGCTGTACATCCTATTCCAGACAATAGAAGGTACGATTTATCTTATGAATCAATATTATCCTAGTGATACCACAATTTTCATTTTGATAAGCTAAAAAATATCAGATAAATATTTGAAAACGGAATTCATACTGGTAACTTAGGGTCTATAAAAATACGTCCTTCCAAGTACTCCATGATGTAAAATGGAGTTCCGATCACACTTGAATCTGTACACAAACAGAAAACTTTTGGGACTGGAACCACCGTATGAGTACTCATTGCATGTAGAACCTGCCATGTCAACATCAAAATCTCAAAGTTAAACACAGAACATGCACACGCATGACATATTACTGAACATATTTACTTCACAAGAGAAAGAAAGAATACACCACAACCTTATACTCTCTCTCAACAGCATGAGCAGATGTCAACAAAGTTCCATGAGGTTTCTTTCTCAACACATATCTCTTTGCCAAGGTTCCTGAATGGACCTCAATGAGGAAAGTGGGATTTGATTGACCATGCCCAAACTGTAACACAATGAAGATGACATTTAAAAACAAAAGAAAAGTGAGAACTTTGCAACAAAAAACTGCATTAGACATGGAAGCCTTTGTTCTGAGTACAGATGAAAGCCGCACAGAAGTAAAGAAAATTGTATCTTCCAATATCAAACTAATACAGATTGACAGCATTCAAATCTCAGCAGGTTTAACACTGAGCTCATATCCAGATTGGCAAGAATACTTTTAGAAGTGTTGATTCTATTCTCCTTCCTTCGCTAGGAAGAATTCCTAAAAGGGAACTAGAACTTCTATTACTAATCTGAGGAAAGCACTTCCAATTTTTGTTTCGGATAGCTTCTATATTTTGTTCAAGATAATAATGACTTTGAATTTAGATGATAATGTTAGTAACAAGCACATGCCAGAATTGAAGTTTTATAAAAACATTTGTTTATCATTTTAAGAATTCTCCTTTTCCTTTAGAAAACAAGATCAATTACAATGAAACGGTGTTTCTTTTTCATCACTATGTTTCATAACACTCATTGTTGTGGAATCAACTACTGATGCTTGCCTTAGGATAGACTTCCTACATTTACCCCACTTCCCTGGACCCTACGTAAATGCGGGATGCTACGTGCATTAGGCTGCCCTTTTTTTCATGTTTCATAGCCACTCATTGTGTAGATCAATTTTGACCTTTGCAATAACGCATTTTTCTTTCTAACTAGATAAACAAATTGGAGTGCCTAGGCTACAATTCCCTCCCATAAAGCATAAAGCCATAAGCTTATCATTGCCATATACATTACACCACCTAGTATCAGGCAACATTCCCTCCAAACATATCTCTACCTTCCATGGAGTCTCTACCGATTCGACACGCCCAATCCCAAAAAGATTAAATTTAAAAAGCAAACAAATGAAAGAAGGAGAAAAAAGAAAGAAATTTGCATTAAGCTAAAACAGAGGATTTCTTAATCTTAAGCTTCCTTTTGCCACCATAATCCGGTATACCAATCACCTAACTGAAGCTTAACTCCAGCCAAACACAGTAAAGCACAAAACTTTTCTTCTTTTATTTACCCCAATTCCAAGAAATTCAGTCTTTTCTTTATCCTCTTCTTTTGCTAATTCCAGCATTTAACACATTATATGTATGTTTATACAATCAATCACGCAACATGGTTTCTGGAGCTTCCTTTTTACTTTGCACACTGATAAATTCATTAACAAAAATAAAGAGAAAAAAGGCAAGTATTTACTTGTCAAAGTCACAACCTACAGATGATTCTTTAGCAAATAATTACAAAAAAGAACAAAGGGGGAAAAAGAAGGAGCATACAAAACCTGAGAAACAGTAAATTGAGAAGGGTTTGTAGGGAAGCCAACAACATTAGCAGAGGCATAGCGAAGCAGCGCTTCAGTATTGAAACTCTGAGCTGGGTCTACTCGCCCAACAAGATCGGAAGTTTTATTTGCCATATCTTTGGAATTTGGATTAGATCAGAGAAGTTGAAGCTGAAAATACAGAACTTTTTGGAGTAAGAAAATTGTGAAATTTAACTTAGAAAAAAAACCCAAAAAGAGAAGAAATGGGAAACAATGTACAAAAGTTAAAAGGGTATTGGTAAAGATCAAAGGTTTTGGCCTTGGAACTGGCGATACTGATTATTTGTCATGTTACGATATTATGACAATACGCTGACGATTGTAACTTGGATAAGATTTTTCTCTTAAATATATTCATGCAAAATTATGCTCACTCTTAATTTAGTCTTTTTTAAATCTATATCTATATTTATTTATATTTAAAAATCTATATCTATTTATATTTAAAAATCTACACTAGAAAAGTGAAGTGACACCTCCCAAAAAATATATTTATTTTTTTCTCCTTTTCTTTTTAAGTTTTTATCATTATTCTATCTTCGTAACTCTCACCTTATTATCTTGATAACCTATATTTTTAATAATCTCAATAACTCCTTGCCTTCTATATCCATAAACCCCAAATATGTAAATTTATGATAATTTGTATTCATCTTTTGTCCTTTATTTGTTTTAAAATTTTTATTTTGGTAACTCACACACCTCTTTAACTTCCACTCTTAATAATGTCCAATTATCTATAACTCCTATGATTTTCATAACCCTCAAATATTTAATTTAAAAATTTAAGATACCTTATGGTATTCCTCTACTTTTGCCTATATAAATTCATAATTTTTGTTTCATGAGACTCCTACCCAAGGTTAACCTTTTTCATTCCATATCTGAAATAGTAATGGTGTTATATTTATTGCAATATTAGATTCATGTTTTAGTTTTGCTGGAGGAGAAGGCTCTTGAATGATGATCGGTTTGCAAGAGAGGGTATCAACAACAGCTCGGGAAACTATGCACTGCTTCTATATTTCTTTTTTCCTTTTATTTTCTTATGATTAAGGTTCCTTTTATTTCTTCTTTTCCTTTTTCTTTCTCTCTGACTTTGAGAAATGTTGTATCTATGTACTTCGCTTTAAGATCGGTGTAAGATTCATGAATGAATAGCATATTTTTTCTGATGTTAATGTATTTTGGATGTATACTACAAGTGAAAACACATATAAATACATATGTCGTAGAATAGTTCTCTAATAGTTTTAAGGAATATGCCAACTTGGAACACTCAACAAATAACATTGCTAAAAATACAATTGGTAGTTGATTTCCATCAAAGTAAGTGATAAAAAGCAAGAACCGTAAAAAAAATCATGCAAGAATTCATGGCAATACGTAAGATCGGGTCTTTTATTTTTCTATTTTCTTTTTAAAACAATTAAGCAAAATCATCTTCAAGCGACTATGAAGGACAAGAATTGAGTTTACAAATCTCTTAAAAGAGATGATCACATCTAAAAAATTATTTTTTGTGTTTTTCAACATAGAAACGGCCAACAGCCTAAATGGGTGCAACTTTCCTTTTTTAATTATTATTTCATCATGTACAAATTTCTTTGTTTGTATTTTAATTTATTTTTACTGTATTATAATTTTACATTCTTTTTTATGTAAGGAAAAATATCCGAACAAAATTTTAAAAAATAAAACTAACTTAGATATGCATATAGTAAATAAGGACATTTATTATTCTATTAAAATACATAGATCTCTTAAATTTCTTCAACTTTTTAGAAAATCAAAGAGATAATTATATAAGAAATACATATCGACTTTACAAATACAAATTAATCCCTTTATATATGTGAGGACAATTATTATTCTATTAAAAAAACATAGATCTCTTAAATTTCTTCAACTTTTTAGAAAATCAAAGAGATAATATAAGAAATACATATCGATTTTACATATACAAATTAATCCCTTTATATATGTGAGGACAATTATATCATTTCATGATAAACTTGTAACATGTATAGTATTGAAGGTATAAAAATTACAATCACATTGTCATTGAAAATACTTAATATTTCTGATTTTATTCAATTTTTACAAATTATATATATAATCGCGCGAAGCGCGAACAAATACACTAGTGTATAATAATGCCAATACGAAACGCGAACAAATACACTAGTGTATAATAATACCAATGATGTATCTTTGGCCAAAGGATTTGGATTTCTCGAAGGGGTTTGTGTATATCTTATTTATCCTAGTTCGTCTTTTATATTCTATTTTTACTAACTAGACTAGAAATTGTGAAGATTAAGACTCAGTTATTCCATTTTATAGGATTGTTTCGCCAAGCATAGCAAAAAGTTAAACAAATAGGATACTTTGAGCGGTTCAAGAATATTGGAGGTGTAATAAACAATAAAAGTAGAAGAACAATATTGCAGAGAAATAGAGAGGGAATTTTCAATGAATTTTGGGATGATCTACAATGAGGTAAGACCTCTCTATTTATAGGGGAAAAATGACTTAGTCATAAAGTAAAACTCTCTACAAGATAGACATTCACTCTAAATAAAATTCTATTCATAACACTCCCCCTTGAATGTCTACTCGATGGGTAATGTGCCTCATTAAAATCTAAACTAAAATAAAACCCAATGGGAAAAAAATCTAGAAAAGGAAAAAGAGTACACATATCTAACAATACGTCTTTTGGTTGCCTTGTTAAAAACCTTGCAAGGAAAACCCAGTGGGACAAAACCTTGTAAGGGAAAAAGAGTGCAATGCGTATTAAACTCCCCCTGATAAGAGCATCATTTCACATCCTTGAACCTTCGCATCCCAATCTTATGTACTAGCTTCTTGAAGGTTGACGTCGGTAGAGATTTTGTGAACAAATCAGCCATATTATCACTTGAACGAATCTGTTGCACATTGATATCACCATTCTTTTGAAGATCATATGTGAAAAATAACTTTGGTGAAATGTGCTTTGTCCTATCTCCTTTTATGAATCCTCCCTTCAATTGGGCTATGCATGCTGCATTGTCTTCATACAAAATCGTGGGTAGTTTGTCGCACTTCAAACCACATTTGTCTCGAATAAGATGTATTATAGACCTCAACCACACACATTCTCGACTTGCTTCATGAATAGCAATTATCTTAGCATGATTAGATGAAGTAGCCACAATTGATTGCTTAGTCAATCGCCAAGATATGGCAGTGCCTCCACATGTAAACACATAGCCTGTTTAAGATCGAGCCTTGTGTGGATCGGATAAATACCCAGTATCGGCATAACCAACAAGATCAGGTCTGCAATTATTGCCATAAAATAAACTCATATCGGTAGTTCCTTTTAGATACCGCAATATGTGTTTGATTTCATTCCAATGTCTCCTTGTAGGAGCAGAGCTATATCTTGCTAAGACATTAACTGAAAAGGTTATGTCAGGCCTTGTAGTATTGGCAAGATACATTAGTGCACCAAATTGCACTAAGATAGGGTACTTCAGGACCAAGTAGCTCTTCATTCTCTTCTTGAGGTCGGAATGGGTCCTTATTCACATCAAGTGATTGAACAACCATCGGAGTACTTAATGGATGTGCTCCATCCATGTAAAACTGTTTCAATACCTTTTCTATGTAGGCAGATTGATGAACAAAAATTCCATTTGACAAATGTTCAATTTGCAAATCAAGACATAATTTTGTCTTTCCGAGATCTTTCATCTCGAATTCCTTCTTTAAATAATCAATTGCCTTTTGGCGTTCTATAGGAGTTCCAATAAGGTTTATGTCATCAACATATACAGCAAGTATAACAAATTCCGATGTTGTTTCCTTTATAAAAACACATGTGCAAATGGCATCATTTATATAGCATTCCTTTAATAAATACTCACTAAGACGATTATACCACATTCGTCCTGATTGCTTTAGACCATACAAAGATCTTTGCAATTTGATTGAAAATATTTCCCGGGACTTTGAATTATGTGCGTTAGGCATTTTAAATCCCTAGGGAATTTTCATGTATATCTCATTATTAAGTGATCCATAAAGGTAGGCGGTAACCACATCCATTAAATGCATGTCAAGCTTTTCATGGACAGCAAAACTAATGAGATAATGAAAGTTATAACATCCATAACGGGTGAATATGTCTCTTCATAATCGACATCGAGTATTTGTGAAAATCCCTGTGCAACAAGGCGTGCCTTATATCTTTATACCTCATTTTTCTCATTCCTTTTGCGTACAAAGACCCATTTATAGCCAACAGGCTTAACACCGTTAGGTGTTTGGACTACAGGCCCAAAAACTTCACGTTTTGCAAGTGAATTCAACTCTGAATGGATTGCTTCTTGCCATTTTGGCCAATCACGTCTTTGTAGACATTCTCCAACAGATTTAGGTTCAAGATCCTCACTATCTTGCATAATTATAGATGCAACATTATATGCAAAGACATAATCCACCACTATATCCAATTGATTCAAATTTGTCTCAATATTGATTGGATTTATTGATAGTTCCTTATTTTCTTGAGTCTCGGCCTCAGTGGATTCCTCATGAATCTCAGAATTTATTAAATCGTGGATTTCTTCATGAGATTCTTTCGTAGTGTCATTTTTGATCATTTATTTTCCTTTTTCTAGGATTTCGATCCTTAGAACCTACGTTTTAGGCGTGCTTTTGACTCATTAGCTATGACATTAGAAGATTGTCCAACAGGGACATCAATATGGATTGGAACATTCTCTACAGGGATATGTGATTATGTTATCCTTTTTAGATCCGTAAATGCGTCTGGCATTTGATTTGCTATTCTCTGCAAATGGATAATCTTTTGCATCTTTTTTTCACAAATAAAGGCACGTGGATCAAGATGAGATAATGATGGATTTTTCCACAAAATTTTCCGTTTGGTTTCACCATTTTCTCCCCCTAATTTGGGAAAAGTGTCTCATCGAATCGACAGTCTGCAAATCGTGCAGTAAACAAATCTCCCGTTAATGTTTCAAGATAGCGAATAATAGAGGGTGATTCAAACCCAATATATGTTCCTAACCTTCTTTGGGGACCCATTTTGGTGCGATATGGCAGTGCTACAGGCACATATATTGCGCATCCAAAAATTCTTAAATGGGATATATTAGGTTTATGACCCAAAACTAATTGCAACGGGGAATATTTATAATAATTTGTCTGTCTAAGACGAACTAGCGTCGCTCCATGTAAAATGGCGTGACCCCAAACAGAAGTGGGCAACCTCGTTTTCATGAGTAACGGTCTTGCTATC